CTTCGGCTGATACCACGACGTCGAGTGCTCATAACTGTTCCCGCGTAGTTGGTTAGTGCGTATAGGCCAGTAGCCAGACTCAGATCAAATACCAAGATCTCATTAAGCGTGTTAAGTATCCGCGAACACCGACCAGGGCCAGGCCCACCTCTCTCCTAGGTGGTCTCAATCTGCCCTGTCGTTCTGCCTCAAAGTAACAGTCGGGGGCCATCGGGAACTCAGGCCCACCACTACCTGGATGGAGCCACCATCCCCTTCAGCCCCCACATCAGAATCACTTGCGGGTACTCAACGAGACGACTCGACTTTAGTCACCACCTGTGTAGTATGTGTATATGCATAAGTATATACCCGTGATCACCTCCCGAGTGATCACAGCCCGATAGTATAGCATGGCAGATGGACAAGAATGTAGGGCCACTGATGATAAACTAGCATCCTATACTAAGCATGTAGGATTGCATGTAAGGTATCAACAGTTGTAGCAACAATGACATGCTATGCAACAGAATAGGATTAACGGAAAGCAGTAACATGCTACACTACTCTAATGCAAGCAGTAGAGAGAAGAGTAGGCGATATCTGGTGATCAAGGGGGGGGGGCTTGCCTGGTTGCTCTGGCAAGAAAGAGGGGTCGTCAACACCGTAGTCGTACTGGGTAGCAGCGGCGTCGATCTCGGTGTCTAGCGAGAGAAGAGGGGGGAAGAAACAATAAATAGTAAGCAAACAGATGCATAGCGATGCATGACATGACAAGTAGCGGTGCTAGGGGTGCCCTAATGCGGTATGAGGTGGTACCGGCGAAGGGGGGAAACATCCGGGAAAATATCCCCGGTGTTTCGCGTTTTCGGACAGATGAACCAAAGGGGGAAAGTTGCGTGTTTGCTATGCTAGGGATGCGTGGCGGACGAACAAGCTGCGTATCCGGATTTGTCTCGTCGTTTTGAGCAACTTTCATGTACAAAGTTTTTTCATCCGAGCTACGGTTTATTTTATATTAATTTTAAAAGATATAATTCATTTTAGAATTTATTTAATTCAACATTATCCAGAATAGTGTTTGCTGACGTCAGCATGACATCAGCATTGACCTGGTCAACCTGACAGGTGGGTCCCACATGTCATACACTGCCGATTTAATTAGGGTTTAGCTAATTAATTATTGTTTAATTAAATTAACTTATTAATTAGATTAACTAAACATGATTAATTATCCTAATTAATTCACTAATTAATTAATTTTATTAATTCATTTTTATTTTATTTTATTTTTCTTTTTTATAAAAACGTTCTAGGCTGGGCCCCGTTTGTCATAGGCCCTAGGGGCCTTATCGGGCACACGGGCGCGGGTGGGCGCGGGGACGTGCCGATACGGGTGCCCGAACTGGACGCAGCCAGTCGGGGCCACGACAAGGGGGAAAACGCCGGCGCGGCACCGGCGTGGCAGCGGCGAGGCCACGGCGAGGCAAAAGGGGAAGAGCAGGGCGGCGGTCGGCGTGGAGCTCCAGCGGGAGGGAGAGGCGAGCATTGTCGGGCCATGCGGGGAGGAGGCCAGGGCGCGCGGGGCATGGACGGAGCGCGACTGTGGACGCGGTTACCGCTGGCACGAGCGAGGCATGTGTGCAGAGAGCGGGGGGTAGCGGAGGGAGGCGGGGCCTCACCGGCGTGGCCTGGACACGCGAGGGGCGCCCGACGCGCGTGGTCGGTCGCAGCGGCGGAGCGGCCCCCATGGGCGGGGCGAGCACGGGAAGTGGTCGGGCGCATCCATGACGCAGCGAGCGTGGTGGAAGCAGCAGACAGCGGCGACAGAGCAAAGTAGCAGTAGGGCAGAGCACAGAAGCAGCGGCGTGGGTGTTGGTTCGTGCCGGCGAGCACGCGTAGGGCGGCCAAGGTCGCGGTCGTACACGGACAGAGGCGAGGGAGCGCGGGGCGCAGAGAGGAAGAGAGGCGGGGCTCACTAGGGGCGCAGGGAACGGGGCAGTGGGGCTCGAGGAGGAGGTCGGAGACGGTGCGTCGCAGAGGAGGCAGTCCGGCGAGGAAGGGCCCCGACAACTGTGGTCCGGCGATGGTGAGGCGGCACCGGCGATCCGGCAAACGGCAGCGAGGGCGGTCCGGTGGCCGCGGCGTCGAGCGTAGACGAGGTGGGCGGGCGCCGAGCACTAGACGGCTGGTCGGGGAGGAGGTGAGGATGGGGCTGCGTCGGTGCGCCGGCGGGGCGGTTCGGCAACGGTGGGCGACGGAATCGGGCCCCGATCCAGATCGGGGGCGAGAGGGAGGAGAGAGTGGGGGGATCGTGTGGGGGAGTGGGTGCGCTGGAAGGCCGGGTTGGTCTAGGTTACGGGGTAGTGGGGGTTAGGTGGACCGGGGTGGGCCGGCCAGGTGGGGTGGTCGACTGGGTCGAGGCCCAGTGGGGGAAAGGGGAGTTCTCTTTTTTTGGTTCTTTTCTTTATTATTTATTTTCTTTTCTGTTTTATTTCATATTAATGTATTTAGGCATTTTAAAAAAAAGGTGTTTTCTGCACTATAATTACCTAGGCATTTAACTGCACACTCCGAACATTTTTGTTTTGCAGTTTGAAGAAATATTCTTTTGACTTGCAATTTAATTTTAAAAATGACTTTGATTTTTTTAAGGGGCAAATTGGCTTAGTCAAACTTGGTGCCCTTAAATATCCGGGCGTCACACCCTAACTGCGGTGGGCAGCGACGATTCAAATTCCTTCCCTTCTTGAAGGCGCCGCCTTGAGAGATAGTTGGTTGGTGGACACTGTTGGGTTGGCGTTGGCGACGATCTGGATCGGGAGGTGTTGCGGCGTGACATTTACCGCGCCGGCGACGGCGGGTCTAGGTGGCGTGGCGCAACGGGGTCGACGTTGGACATGTGTTGATGGATGCAGGCAACGTGATGGCCCTAACTAGCATTGTGGTGGCATCGACGGTAGTTGGGCCTGGCAATGTCAATGCGTTGACCTCTCCTCGAATTGGGACGACAGAAGATGACGGTGCCAGATTCTGGAGCGTGTGCATGTAGTGCGCGCTGAGAGTTTACTAGACCGGTTGGTGCTCTCGGCTCATCGCGGAGAGGCTTGATGAGGCCATCATATTAGATGGTGTGCGCTGATGCATGGTTAGGGCACATCATCAAGCTAGTAAGTGTAGCGACATAGATCGTTAGAAAAGTGGCTTTAGGTTGATCCATGTATTTGTTACTCAGTAGGAATAATGTCTTCCACGCTCTATCCCCGTCCCAATGATGCGAATAGCGTATCGGATGATATTTGGAGGTGTGTCTCCGGCAGATCTTGCGGAATTCGGCCAGTGCTGGTCTTCGGAGGATCTATTTGGATCCAGTTTTTGTTCCTCTTTGTTCGTGTGGTTACAGATTTGATCTTTTCAATCTATAACTTTATTCATCGGTGATGGTTGCTGCTCTTGTGTGCTGGTCCTTTGGGGCCTTAGCACAATAACTTTCTGACTATCTACTACAACAAGGTTTATCCAGTCCTGGTGTGGGAGGGACAATGGCGGCAGCGTGCCTTCAGCTTGTTTGAGTGTTTGTAGTCATGGATAGGTGTCCCACGAAACTAGTTGTGATTTTTATTACTTCTATTGTTCTCTCTATGCCATAGCGCCATGATTTATGAATAGATTGTAAATTTTCTCTCGTAAAAAAAACACACTCTTAACAATTTACCTTCTCATTTCTTGTTTTTTAAAATGAACGAATTACCTTCGCAATCATTCACAGTATTTCACAGACACACGCACGGCACTGCAAGCGATGGAGACCGGTAGCTGGGAGCTCGCCAGCGCAGCGTCCACCGGATTAACTAATCGGTGGAGTAACAAACCATGGCGGCATAAATTAAGGTCTATCTGCTCGGTCGCTTGCGTTTGGTACAGAGGTGGTCGCGCTGTGAAAGCGAGCGGGCTGCGCGCGCAGGTGGACGTGCGCGGGCCCCGCCTCCCCGGTGTCGTGGATGCACTCCCGCTCACAAGTTACAAGCAGGCGCCCCCACCACCACATGCACGCAGCCGCCGAGAAAAGATCCTGCTCCCTTCTCTTGGTTTGGTCGCTCCTCTCTTCGCCGCTGCGCCCGTACCTCTGGCGTCATGGGCTTCCGGGTGTACGCACTAGCTGCTTTGGTACGTGTACATCCGTGATGAAAGTAAGCATGCACGTCGTATACATTCTTGCATGCATGCCTGCCATGCTACCCTTGGTGCAACCTGCATGAACTGAGCACGTAGCCCGCAAAAAGAAGCACTGAGCACGTACGTACACACGTATGAATATATTTTTGAAAGTACACACGTATGAATATGATTCGACGTACGAGTGTGGGTTTTGCTCTCTCCTTCTCCTCAAACATCCTGAAACCTGGGAGGTCGGAGCTGATCTATGTGCACAGTTCTAGCGGCCGGGAAACGCGATGAAGTTGACGTGTTTCTTCGTGGAGCCACGTGCAGGGCCGCAGTAGGCCGGTGCCCAAGCACGTGGGAGATCGGCCCACGCGATCCGCAACCGGCAGGCTCGTACTCCCGTCCCGAAATCATGATTGATCGGCGATACGTATCCGGGAACCCGATTCACCGGGCCGTGCGTGCCCGCCATGGCAAGCTCCCATTGGCCGCGGCCGGGAGCCACCATCGGCACGCCAGCTCGTCGGGCCGCAAAGGACGCGCGGACCCTATCGCTCGGTCGCCCCGCCGCCACGTGTTTTCGTACCGCCACTCCGTTCGAGCCACGTGTGCCCGTCAATTCACGACACGGTTCTCCAGGCCCGGAGCCGGCTCGTATATATAGCCCGGCCGTGCACCTCCCGGCCATCTCGTCCACAGCAAATTCCAATCGAAACGCACTCGCGGCCACATCCCACGTACGACGAAGAGCAGTGAGAGTGAGACACGTACGTGTTGTGTATTTGTGGTGCATACCTACGTATTGCCCATAGCATACGGTGAAAGCTGTCTAGGGGCATATATAGACGGCGCCGGAGATGGGGACGGTGCAGGTGCAAGGTGTGGCGGCGTCGGGGAGGATGCCGTCCATGGAGGCGGAGCCGAAGACGCTCACCCTCGAGCAGCTCAAGTACGCAAGGGTACGTACTATATGCTGTGTATATACGTATATGTATGTTCCAAATCAGGCAGCTTTTTTTCCTCCCATGTCTGAAATCCGATTCATCACCACTAGCGCTATTTTTTCCTTAAAGAAAATTCAAGTAGCGCTAGCCCAAAAAGTATCATGTGTTCTCCCTCCATTCTTCCTTGTTAGTAAAATAAAATAAACTTAGTTTTGTATGTGCCTTCTTCGAAACTTGTTAGGATGTACTACTAACACATGTCTATATACCTTGCGTAGAATAAAGATGAAACCAATATTCCAGTATAGGATATACAGATGGTTGTAGCAGAACGGGATTGCACTAAAGCAGCCTACAAATTTGTATACTTTCTCTGTTCCTAAATACAAGTCTTTTTAGAGATTTTAATATAAACTATATATGAAGCAAAATGAGTAAATCTACTCTTTAAAATACATCTATATACATCCATATGTGCTCCCTATTGAATCTCTAAAAACGCTTATATTTAGAAACGGAGGGAGTACATTTTACTGAAGATTTTTTCTTTGACAAAATCCCCTCAATTGGGACAGTGTTCCTACTAATTTGTCGATTAAATTAATAAGAGAAATAAGAAGTTGAAAACTAAAGTTAACACTGAAATCTGAAAAAAAAAATTTATAACAACTCAATAATTTATTGTGTGCAATGGTAGGTTTCTCATGGTTCTCCGTCGTCTAAAGCTGAAAGGCAAATTATTCAACTCGGCCATCTTTTGCACGTGTAACTCTACCGTTTCTCTGTGGTGATTAGTGACCTACCTCAGCTACCTCTAAAGTCTATTCCATCCGGTTTGCACTCATCTCTACAACACCCCGGACGATAAGTTTCGTATGCATGCACACCGGTTTAGCAAAAGAACTAGCTAGCCTTAAAGAGAATTCTTGATAAACGTATGTACTGAATCCATCCATTCAAGGGATCCTGTCTGTACAAAGAACCTCCTGCTAAGTAAAAAAAACTCCTATTCCCGCATGTACTGTTTTCTTGGTTTTTTTTAATATCAGATGCAAGCGCTCATACATACGCGCATACACCCACCCCTATGAATGCACACACGCACACCCTACCCCTATGAGCATCTCCGAAAGACTGAGCCGGCATATCATCTTGAGGCGCCTCGTCGTCGACGGAAACGTCTCCTCCCACTGAAAGCGCATAGCCGGAAATCCTGAAATAAATCCAGGAATAATGCGAGCACCAGGATTTGAACCCTGGTGGGTTGGGGATACCACTGTCCACCTAACCAACTCAACCACAGGTTGATTCGTCCTTCAAGAGACTGAACCGGCATGTTATCTTGAAATTTATCGTAGGCGCCTCGTCGTCGTCGGAAACGTCTCCTCCCATTGAAAGCACATCGCCGAAAATTCTGAAATTAATCTAGAAATAATGCAGGCACCAGGACTTGAATTTGGTGGACTAGGGATACCACAGTCCTCTAACCATCCAACCACATGTTGGTTCGCTACTATTTTCCTGGTTGAAGTGAATAGATAAATTTACATGTTTTCTACAAAATTATTTTGTATCCCAGCATATACAATATATGCATTCGCAAGAAAAGCATACAATATATACGACTTTGTAAGCTTGTAGGGTCGCAGTCACCCAAACAATGCACAAAGAAAACACAAAACAAATAGTGCTGCAATGAAAAGGAAAAGGAATTGATGAGCGAAGGTGCGTATATACGCAAGTGCGATTGCTATTGCTTGCTGCATGCGCTGTTCACGCACTTGGGTCGGTCTCTGTTCCCATGAAGCTTGTGTGTCGACGTGTCGTGCGTCCGTCACAACAGAGAACAGTCGTGACAAGGACGTTGCCCACCACAATTTAATCTCGCTCGTTTACGTCGCCTGTACGTATGTACATTCCTGCTGTACTCGCGTACGCCTCACGCATGTAACTCATACATATGCACGTACGTACATCCGCTCGCTCCTCTATGAACATAGATGTATTTATTATTATTATTTTTGTGTTCTTTATACTGTTATGAGATGATGAATGGATCGAAAGTTTTCTAGAAAAAAAGCCAGAGCAGCTTGAGGTAGACATATATTAATCGGAATTGCAGGAGGCGGCGCTGTACGTGGTGAGGACGAGGACGACTGAGGAAGCCATCAGGATCTTCACGGAAGGGCTCAAGCCAGTGCGGGGCGTGCAGAAGATGGGCTCCTCCTCCACGACGGACTCGTCGGACGACGACGTCGAGCTCGGCTCGTCGGAGGATTCGACGCCGCGCGGCGGCGGCGGCACGGGTTGCCGCACCCACGGACGCTCCATCAAGAGGGACATTGCCACTGCACCGTTCTAGCTTGCGTGTTTAGTTCGAAATTTTACCTTTTCTACGGGTTTTTTTCTCTTCCTGGCCCAGTATTTTAGCTTTTGCATCGGCTGGTAGCGCGGCAAAATTTTGGGGTGCGTCCTGGCCTAGAGAAGGCGGCAAGAGACGTGAAGCTGGCCCGCACTACTAGTATGCCGTTTTGTGTGTGTGTGTGCGTGTACATAGCAGCAGACTACTTCAGTTCTTTGGCTTCAAATTCTCCTCGTGTTCTTCCATGCATGTGGACTCTCACGGGGCATCCAAATTTCCCCTTTTTGTATTTTCTTTCGCAACACGCACAGGCAAAACGCCGGTGGCTGTTTGGTTATCTACACGCTTTTCACATTTTTCGAAAGCTTGGGGTCACGTTCTGCATGCGTTTGATTGCCTGAATTCGCCATAGTCTGCATTCTCTCTTGTAGTGTAAACTGCACCACAATGAGCCCGCATATGAGAAAACGGCTGATTTTGGGCATTTTCAAAGTCCCGCCCTTATTCCTCCAAGAGCATCACCAACGGCCACGCAACGCGCCACGCGCAAAAAACGCATTTGCCGTGCATCGTTCACCTGGCTTGACGCGGTCGGCAGCGCTGGCTTCAGCAGCCGCATCAAAATTGAAAGCGCGTGTATAGCTTCAGCGGCCGTGCTAAAATACAGCGCGCGCTAAACATTGCGTATATTTTTTAACAAAACGGTAAATAAAATTTATAGATAGAAAAAACGATACATAGATATTTTACATAATTTCATAGTATAGATAAATAAAAACTACTCCCTCTGTAAACTAATATAAAAGCGTTTAGACCACCAAAGTAGTGATCTAAACACTCTTATATTAGTTTACGGAGGGAGTACTAGATAGTGCAATGACATAAAAAAAACTACTAGAATGCAACTACATACACAGCTACAGCCTACTCCCGGTCGTCGTCGTCATCATCATCATCGCCATCCTCGCTGGTCTGATTCGAGGTATCGAGCCACATGTCCTCTCAACGATCATCATCAGACGTAAATATCGTCTGCCCACCATTCTCAACGATTTCGCACTGCGATAACGCCAGGACCTTCCGCTGACGCCTGTCCAACCGCTCATCGCGGCGCCTTTGCGTCTCCTCCTCGCATCGCCTTGCCCAGTAGGCTTGCTCGTAGGTGACGTCATCCGGATGGCGTTGGCGCCACTCTGCCATGACCCGCTCGTCCTCATGGGCGACGAGGAGGCGGCGCTGCCGCTCAGCGTGCTCCGCACGATCTTGTGCCGTGCAAAGACGAAGCGGTGGGGCGACGTCCAGCGTCTGCTGGAGCGTGTGGACGTCGTGGAAGTTCATATGTGGGCGCGGCCTTCCTAGGCGCCACGCCGCCGCGTCGTACGCGCGGGCGGCCTCGTGCGTCGTCTCGAAGGTGCCGAACCCGAGCCGGAGTTCGCCGGACCGTATCTCGGAGTAGAACCCGTCGTTGGGGCGCTGACGGACGCCACGGTAGCCCGACGCTCCTCGGTGGCGCGGCGGCATGGTAGCGCGTCGGTGGCGGGGGGCGCTGGAGCGGTGGCGCGCGTGGCAGCGGAAGCAAACGAGGAAGCGGTGGAGGCACGCGTGGCAGCGGAAGAGGAAGAAAAGTGTGTGGAATAGGCGCGTGGCGAGCGGCGCAATTTACAGGCGCCCCGGAAGCGGTGCGCCAAAAATAGCGTGCGAGCTGCCGCTTTTTTTCGTGCGCGCGCAAATGGTTCCCGCGCGCGACTTTCCCGCCACCGCTGAAGTGAGCCGAAACATCCTGCGCGCGCTTATAACTCGATTTACCGCGCGCGCTTTTTGGCGCGGCTGTCGGAGATGCTCTAATGTAAATTGCACTACAATGATCATGTATCTGAGGAGCCCTAGGGCTCCTTCCTGTGATGTAAATTGCACTATAATAAGCCTGCATTTAAGAAAACGTCCGATTTAGGGATTCCCAGAGCTCAGCCCGTATTCTCAAAGCCTCGTCGAGGGGTGCTTTGACCTGCATTTGAGAAAACGATCGATTTGGGCATTCTTAGAGTTCAGCTCGTATTCTCAAAGCCTCGTCGAGGGGTGCTTTGACCTGCATTTGAGAAAACAATCGATTTGGGCATTCTCAGAGCTCAGCCTGTATTCTCAAAGCCTCGTCGAGGGGTGCTTTGAGATTCATGTCGTGCAAGCTCATGCAAGCGTGTGGATAAACAAACAGTCGAATCTTGGCTCACTAAAGCCTATATGAGCCTTGTGCAGGCAATCAACCACGCATCGGTTATTCACTGAGCTGGGTGATGTCAACCAGATTTACCGTGCTAGAGATAAAAACGACCTCAACATTAATCGAAGCAGGTTCAACTGTTTCCAATACACTTTCCTCAGTTGCGGGCTTAGAGAATTACGCATGCAAAATCGTTGTTTCACTTGACCAATGAGCCGTAGACCATGACACTGAGTAAAATTGATAGTTTTCTCTACATTGCGGGCTTAGAGAATTACACATGCAAAATCGTTATTTCACTTGAGCAATGAGCGGTAGACCATGACTTTGAGCAAAATTTACGGTTTTTTTTCTGCAATGAGGACAGGGACAATACAAGCAGTAGACCACGACTTTGAGCAAAATTGACAGTTTTTTCTGCAATGAGGACTGGGACATTACCCTCGATGATCATATCCTATTTTTTTCATTGTATTATCTTGAAACATGGGGAAGTAATGCATTTGACTCTTCTGAATAAGCTTTTTGGGGAGAGATATGCGACGGGAAAAAGGTAGTGAAGAGCTCGCGAACGCGAGACTTAACCCAACACCTTACGACATGAAATATTCTTATTATGCCAATGTCAATTGAATCAATGTTATTAGCTTTTTTTTTGGTATTTTTCATTTCTTCCACGCCCTCTAATATCACTCTCCGACTATGCATGGCCCTCTGTTACTCACTTGTGATCGGGGTCCCAAAAAGTCCTTACCAACGTATTTTCGACAAGTTGAATTACATAGGGAAGTGCCTAAGAACTTGGAGCTGCAACATGTTCTCCGACCACAAGCTCCAGCCGCACATGGCCCTCTCTGTCATCCTCTATCTAGACATGGCCATGGACCACCGGAAGCTGTCTGATGATGAGGCAAATGTTGGCACCAGATTAAAGAGGAGGGTCACCCGCCTAGCTGCACCAGGAAGGGCGATGAAAAAGCAAAGGTATTAGATCATCAACCTCCACGAGGGTAATGGAAACACACGTTTCTTCTTTATCTGATTTTATGCTCGAAGAAGGAAAAACTTCATACAGGCTCACACATAATAATGGGTGGGTCACCTCCCATGATAAGGGGGGCGGGGGATCGGCTAGGAATACTTTGCCACAACCATGAAGAAAGATGATCCCCATGTTAATGTTTTCAACTGGGAGGCTCTTAACATTCATAATGAAAACATTCAGGATATCGACGTCACCTTTTTCGGAGGCCGAGGTGAAGGCCGCTATCGGTCAGCTGCCTTCCCATAAGGCACCGGACCCGTATAGCTTCGCCGCAGATTTCTTTCAAGGCATGTTGAGAGATTATAAGAGAAGATGTGATGAATGTTCTCAACCATTTTTCTGACCATCAAGTCATACACTTCAGTTGTAGTGGCTCAGCTCGGCTAATGTAGTTTATTTTGTCCAAGAAGGAGGTGCCGAGGACATTCTTGACCTCCATCCGATTACCCTCATCCATGCTCTAGTAAATTTTTTGGCCAAGGTGCTTGGTAATAGTCTTGCTCGCCATATGGACTCTATTGTCTCGAATGTGCAAAGTGCCCCCATCAAAACTGTTATATTTGTGTCGAATATTATGTACGCAAGGGGTTACGTGGACTTGGAGTTGTAATTGGTGTGGTTAGGTACGAGTTGTGTAGGAGTCGGACACTTGTATCCTAGGCCTCTTATATACGGAGGGGCACCACACGTTGTAACCCATGACGACTTGATAGCAACAGGTACGCGGGGGAGCCGACGGCATGTGTTGGCGCCCGGGCGGCCGGTGTTGCAGTATCTTGGGGAGGAGCGCCCGTAGTCATGCCCCGGTGATGTAGCCATATCGGTGAACCTCGTTAACAAATATCGTGCCTCGATGTGTCGTCTATGATCTTGCATTAGCGTTTTATTCTAACAAGTGGTATCATGAGCAAGGTTGCGAGAAGGCTATGCGGAAGATCATCCGGAGGTACGAGGATCATGCTCGACAGGTGCCATGAAACGTCCGATTGGTGCAAGGTGGAGCATGGCGGCGATCGTGAAGGCGGTCGGTGGTGTCGGACACTTCGGGCAGGAGGCCTGGACCGTTCGATGGGCTGCGGTCGGTAAGGATTGGCTAGATGTGGCGATCGGACCGGTGTAGTGGTTGTTGAAGACGTTGCGGAGGCGACGGATTCGGCTCACGATCAGACCGGCGACCAGACGTGGTGGACGGCCGGATAGATCGGAGTGTGAGAGCATCGAGACGATGCGCTCGGTGTTGTACAAGGGCGGCGGCGCGGCACTACGGACGGATTGTGTTGACGACGTAGATGGCCAGGGTACAGCACGACTCGTGCATGGATGATGCGCGAGGTGGCGTCTGTTTCAGCATGGTTGGCGTACGGTGTGCGCGCAACAGGACAAGTTACAGATCGCTGACGAAGAACCAAGATCAGAGACGGGAGCTGTCGTCGGATACAGCGGCGATCTTTTTAGATGCAAACGGAATCGAGAAGGTCAGACTTTTGGTTGCGGCTCTGCGTATGCGAGACGACGCACGGAGCCACGGACGCGTGTGGTAGTCGGTCTCGGAAACAGCGGACGTACAGGCAAAGGGCAAAGAATCAGCAGGTCTACTCGGATAAGGTGCAACACAAGGAACGAAATCGTACTGGCGCAGGAGTCCAGGGGATTAACGAGCACGCGGCCAGCCGATACAAGGTGTACGTGCGTGTTGATGTTTTGGTCCAGGGACAAGCCTACCGCTGGTTATATTGG